CGCATGCTCCCTCGCGTCCTTTCTTGGGAGCGCCTGTAAGAAATATGGCCGAGGCCGCTTCTTGAACTGGTCCATAGCATAGGGGCGTCAGAAGGGGAGCACGTGGCTCTGCTCCCGCCAGCTCAGTGTCATTATGTCGACATGACCGTGCCAAGTAGGTCGAGCCACCTCCGAGCCGCTGCTGCCGTGTGCCCTCGTACCACCCGGTTGGCACCATCTCTGGGCTGCTATCTGGCAATCTCTTTGGCACCGAGCGAGCCCAACCGTTTTTGCCATAGTCGGGCTATTAAAGCCATTTCCGTCGTCGCTAGTCACCATGACCATCCCTCCCTCCTCTCCAAATTCATCGAGCACAACACATCTCCATCCAATTCCTTTTAGACAAGAGTGCTTTAGGTTCCTAGCTTGCTCATAAACGAGATCATGGTGGGAATCGTACACCAGAGAGCGCACCCGAAGCATCGCCGTCGCCACTGGCCACCGTGGGTGCCATACCTAGCTCGGCCATGAACCCCTCCCAGCCCTTCCCTTTTTCCTTGATCTTCTCAGTGTTATTGCTCCGCGTTGATGCCTCGGACTCGCCTGCGAAATAGGTTTGCCGGAGCTCCAGTGGTTCGCCGGAACAATGATGATGCCGCTGTCGCGCCAACTCGGATCCGTTCCGCACGTGGCCAACCATCTTACCAAGCCTCATGGCCTTGTCTAGCCCTTCCTTTTAGCTTGTGGTGAGTCACTGTTCCTTCCCTGACTCCCCGTTTAACCTCTGCCGTAGCCATCTCGCTGGAGCGCGCGCGCCATTGCCGCCATCCATGTCTACACGTGGGTAGACATGCCCTGCACGCCATCATGAGCCGTCACGGTCCTGCGTGGTAGCGCAAACCCTGTGGTGTACCTGCGCCCCTGGCGGCCACCCCTCCGCTGCCGCCGTGCCCTCCCCGGCCGGTCTTGGCCACCGTCGGATAGTCCCCGCCTTGGTGCTCTGCTCTGGTGACGCTCGGGGACTGGGGAATGGTGAAGATAGGAAAATGTAGGGGCTAAATCACATAGATCGTGAGGCATATAAATAGTGTTAATAGTTGGAACATGATTTAAAAATAAAAATGGGCCCTTTTTGCAAAATTGCAGCGCGCAATTGGGCCTCCCCTCCAGGTCGGCCTGCTCCCGCGCGTGGGCTGGCTGCTCACCCGCGCCTGGGCTCGTCCGCGTGGGACGGCCATTTTCGGCTGCTGGGCCGCCGCCTGCCCGCTTGGGCTGCTCACGCCGCGCTACGTTGGGCCGCGCGCGCGCCTGCGGGCCGAGCCTGACCGCTCAAGCCTTTGTTTTTTTTGTGTTGTTTTTGTTTTGTTAATTCAGTGGTCTTCAAAAATTCAAAATAAAATGTAGAAAAATCACAAAAATACCAAACCAATTTTATTAGTGTCCTAAAATCATAATCTATCTGTTAGTGTATTTTGTTCGCATAGGTTCTATATGTTTTTAGAGTTGCTCTAATTATTTTAAAATATCTAATATTGTTAAAATGTGAACTTGTGGGAATTTTTTGAGAAAATGGTGATATTGTTAACTCTAAAAAGTTTACAGTAAATTTCTAATATTATTAGCTGCACATTATAATTTTTGTAGCTCCAGAATAATTAGTTTATTAGATAGATAATGATGCCTTATTTTGAATAAAGATTAAATCGATAGAATAGAATAAAGAAACACCTTGGAATTGTACAACTAAAACACTTGTTGGGAAATGACACATTTCTTGATGATGTTGATGCGTAGATTAGTACGTTAGTCATTAAAGCTAGCTTGTTCGTTCGTAGTATGTACTCTGTTTAGGAATTTTTGTTGGCTTGTTAATTAACTGTTGCATCATCTCTGCATCGCATTGCATACCATAATAGGGACGATGATGGATCGTGGAGCCATCTGGAGTAGCGGAAAAGATAGTGTCTCGATGATCGTGTCACCAAGATGGAAAATTAACTTTTGATTATATCTTACCCAGGCAAGCTCCGATGCATAACCCCTATTTTTTCTGCACTTTATATTATGTTTGTGCATTAAGTTTAAAGGAGTTGAATAAAGCCCAATTGCATATATATATATATATATATATATATATATATCCTATTAGTCTTACTAGTATGATAGGGTCATGTAGATTGCTATGCTACAGGACTCTTATAGAAGACGAGTGATTGCTTGTCACTCGCGAGAGATAGGAAATATGTTATTATGGTTACTATATTATTATCACTTAGAATATATATATGAATAATAAATGGAGATCGGGTAGGGATATGGTTTGGGTATTGGTGGGTGTAAGAGGTTTGTGTTCTGCGGCCAGCGGGGCATAGCTTGGTTACACTATTTTCCTGTCTGTGTCGGTTAAGGACCGGTCGTTGCATTGGGTTCTAGGCAGGTCACAGACTTATTATCCAGAACACATACTTGTGTATTAGCGTGGGAAGACTTGTTACTCTCTTGTCATGAGTTCCGGGTCTTTCAGGACCGACTTTTAGGGTGGTTTTGGGTGGAGGTCCAAGCACCGCACTGAGTCCGAGACTCAAGGGCAGGGGCTTGAAGTCCAAGTTTGGACAGGGACCTAGACCCCGAGACAGGAGGGTAGTGGGTTAGTCCACCTTGTGCCTGAGGTACAAGCGGGGCGTGTGTTTTGGGGTACCCAGCTGGGCACATTGATTCATGAATCGCCGATGATCCGGTACGACTTGTCTACAATCTTGCACCGTAGTAAGAATTGGAAGATGAAAAATGGTAAAATGATTCTGATTGCTTACCACCTGCTTGAAAGTAGCATAGGTGCTTACATAGAATGGTTAGTTAACGAACCAATGTTGACTGCTAATAAAATTGAATATAAGGATGTACTTTTAGTAATGCTCCTACAGATGCAATAAACCCACAAGCCAGATAGACTTGCATATCCTTGTAGTCTTTTCTTTCCTCCTGTCGGGTAAGTCTTGCTGAGTACAATTGAGTACTCATGGTTTTATTTCCCCCTGTTGCAGGTGACAGGTGGATGTTAGAGCTGATCCTTGTGTGTGGATTCCTTCTGGTGGGCTCAGAGAGGATTTCTTTACACTGTGATCATAGTCTTTATTTATAACTCACACTAAATATTTTTATAAATGGAAGTTTTATAATCTGTTGTCATAGTTTATATATCAAGGTTTATCATGTCATGAATAGATATTTATTTCTGCTGTAACTCTGATCACATGTTTATATTCCGCTGTTAAATTAAATTGTTCATAACTCTAATAACATGTTCATATTCCGCTGTTATAATAATAAATATTATACTCTGATGTTACATGAAAAGTGATGTAAGAAATGGTTAAAAATGTTGTAAGCTTTATTCTCTCATTTGTGATCCTGATGAAAAATATGGATTTTCAGGTTCTCCCCTGGAGTATGCTCGACGGAACTGTGTAATTTGGTGTTCTCCCTTGAGTACTTAGTGTCTAATGAAAGACAAGTACTTCAGGGAGGCATTAGATTATGCGGTTCTGCCACAACCGTCTAATGCTGTGGATGGTAGTCAGGTCACAGACTTATTATCCTGAGCACATACTTGCTTATGGGAGCAGAAAGGCTTGTTACGCTCTTGTCGTAGGTTCCAGCTCTTTTTGGACCGGCTGATTGGAGGCGGGGAAAGGTGGAGGTCTAAGCACCCGACTGAGACCGGGTCTCAAGTGTGAGGGCTTGAAGTCCAAGTTTGGACGGGGACCTGGACCCCATGACAGGAGTGGTGGGTTGGTCTTGTTTGTGCCTGGGGTATAAACGGGGCGTGTGTTTTGGGTACTCAGTTGGGATACATTGGTTCGCGAATCGCCATTTCTGTGAGACGGTACGACTTGGCTATGGTCTAGCGCCGTAGTAAGAACTAGAATATGAAAGATGGTAAAATGGTTCTGATTGCTCACCACCTGCTTCAAAGTAGCATAGGTGCTTATATAGAATTGTTAGTTAATGAACTAATGATGATTGCTAATAAAATTGATTATAAGGACGCATATTTAGTAATGCTTCCGTAGATGCAATAACCCACAAGCCAGATAGCCTTGCATATTCTTAGAGTCTTTTATTTTTCTCCTATCAGGTAAGTCTTGCTGAGTACAATCGAGTACTTAAAGTTTTATTCCCCCTATTGCAGGTGATTGGAGGATACTTAGAGCTGACTCTTGTGTGTGAAAACCTTCTGGAGGGCTTAGAGAGGATTCTTTTCACGCTACGACCATAGTGTTTATTTATAACCCCCACTAAAGGTTTTTATAAGAAAAGTTGTAAAATATGTTAACATCTCTTGTATAAAAATGTCCACTATATTAATGCTGCACCATGTCATTAAATTAATCCTGCTTCCTCTATAACTCTATGTAGTTTAGTGTCCTCTCTTGGATACTTAGTGTATAATGAAAGATAAGTACTCCTGAAAGATATTAGATTAGACGGTTCTGCCACGACAATGAAACACTGCTCCATTTTTGAACAATTCCCTCAGCTTGTGAGCACTAACAGGAGTGCAGGTAGTGGTATTGTCCACCACTCCTTGCAACTTGATGACCTTGCCTTCTTGAGAACTGTATTGTCTTCAGCTTGTAATTAATTGTCATGGGACTGAATTCCTCCAACCATCTTCTCCAAGGATCAGGTCATAGCACTTAAGAGGTGACACTTTTTGCATATGAGACAAAGGGCGTGTTTAGATCCGAAAATTTTTAGGTTTTGGCTACTGTAGCACTTTCGTTTGTATTTGGCAATTAGTGTCTAATTATGGACTAATTAGGTTCGAAAGTTTCGTCTCGTGATTTCTCACCCAACTGTGCAATTAGTTTTTTTTTCGTCTACATTTAGTACTCCATGCATGTGCCGCAAGATTCGATGTGATGGGTACTGCGCAAAATTTTTTGGAATCTAAACGGGGCCAAAATTGTGTCCCTGTATAAACCACTTCAACTGGGATACTTGCTGATCACACAACATCAATCCTCCATCAGCTGCACGAAAGGTACTGGCATCACAAGAGGTTGCTCTAAGCTTCAGATGATGGACCAGCTGTTCACTCACAAAGGTCCCAACACTTCTTGAATCAACCAACACAAGCACCTTGTTCTTCCCAATTTGAGCCAACAACTTCAGTGTCTGTCTGTTGATTGTTTGAGGATTAGGTTCAGTTTGGACAGCTAACACCTCCTGGTCTTCGACAGCTGATTCCTCCTCACTCTCATCATCATCATTAGATTGCACAATGTCCAAGGCATCCAGGAACTCCTCCAACACATGTAATGAAATGTGAGGGAGACAAGTATGAGCAGGGCTCCACTTCTCACCACACTTGAAGCATAATCCGTTTCTTCTCCCGAAAGACTTGAGGCTAGCCAGATAATCCTCAGCTTCTGATTTGTGAGCCTTGATCACAGGTTTGGTTGTGTCCATCGCTCTTTGCTTCTCCACAGCAATCCCTGAACGCGTAGTTGATTTGGTGAAATCCCGCCCAGAAGACTTCGAATGTTCGTGCTCTCGTTCTTGTTCCTGAATCAGCGCCAGAGCGCTCGCGGTGTCGACGTCGTAAGGCCGGTGAAGCAGCAGCGCTGACCTGATGTCATCGCGGAGATCACCCACGAATCGCGTGATGAAGAAGGTGTCATCGTATGCCGGGTTGTAGAGCAACATGCCATGGGCCAGCGTCTCGAACGCCGCCTGGTACTCCAGCACCAAGGCGGTCTGCTTCAGGGCATTGAATTGGCGAAGAAGTACCTCGTACTGATCCTTGTCAAATTTTGCCATCACCATCTCGCACAGCTTCTCCCACTCGGCAATCCGGCCACGCCTCTGCACGGTCTGCAACCAAGTCGACGCGGGCTCCTTAAAATCCAGCACGGCGAAGCGCTACTTCATCGTCGCGTGGACGACATATACCTCGAAATAAAGTTCACATTGATCACGCCATCGACACGGTTTAGATCCATCGAATTTGGGGAATTCCATCTTCGGAAACGGGGGATTGTGATGTCTAGAATCCTCATCAGAAGCAGGTGCCTGAACTAGAAGGGGTTGGGGAACGGGACCATAGTGCGTACCGTTGCCCGGGCGAGGCGGGGGAAATCCAAGGATTCCACCGCCAGCATCCCGGATTTGATTGTCATCGCTGTGCCCCATGGGTGAGTTCGGTCGCAGAGGCGTCGCACTTGACGACGCTCCGGGAGCCGTGTTGAGGTCGAGACCCACCGCACCTGGTGGCGGATGTTGCGCGCTCCACTCCGCAACTGGTGGAGGATGGTGTTGTGCGCTCCAATGAGGTGGCGGCGGTGGTGGTGGAGGACGAAACTCGAGGCAAGACACACGCGACATCGTCTCCTCGACCCGAGTCGCCGTCGCCGTGGTCTTCTGCAATAGGGTGCCGAGCGACCCGTCCGTCGTCTCCTTCCAGGTCTCGAGCGCTCCAAGCTTGTCCAAGGCGGTGGACATCATGTCCTGGAACCCGGCGAACTGCTTCGCCATGGCCTGCATCGTCATCTTCAATTCGTCGACGGAGGCCGCCATCTCCAGCTGGGATTTGGGTGGATTCTTCTTCTTCGGCGCCAGGATTTGGGGAAAAAAATTTCCGGGCAAATCAACCAGGCTCCTGATACCAAATGTTATGATCTAAGATAACTAAATGGAATATGAGGGGGAATCGTAGCAAGAATTGGGGAAGAACATGATGGAACACGGCAGAGTTCGTGGGTTTGGGAAGTTTTAGGTAAACCAGAGTTTTGTTCGTCGTTGACGAATCCGTAACACCGGCGCAGCTTATAAGCTTGCTGGCCGCCAACCGCCTAAGCGCTACACCCACGCCCAGCCCATTACATGATGACGGCCCACGTCCTATGGGCTATAACTGATATCTGACCAGGCAGAGTGGCAGAGATCCTCCCCTGTTTCAGAACGAAACGGTCGGCAGTGTCCAGTCGGCACCCGGCAACCAGGCATGCGATGTGCCGTTGACTTGGGCGGAGTCTCCCTGCGCTGCCATCCCCGTGCTATGCACGTACGGACCGGGCAAGGAAGGAATAGTCCAGGTCATTTCTTAAACACGCTTTCCGTTCTAAACCTCTGCTGTGTTGTTTGATGCCAGGACACTTCGAGAAAACGTTGTATCGCACGGTGTACGTTAACCTGGCAGAGCTTAGCTTAACTAACCGCGTGCTATCCTCTGCCAGGTCGAGCTCGCGAGGACGAGTTGTCTCATGCGCTGAACCGTACCCGAGTGGTAAATGCGAAGACGAACATCGCGCACGTATAGGTACGGTACAAACCCATGGTTGCACTGGTAATGTCACCAGTGATGGACCTTGCCGGGGGCGGAACCACAGCCATGCACGGACCATTCTGCCTTCTTCATAGGATCCGGTACCGATCAATGTAGTCTAGCAGTGCGTAGTAGGCCTTGCTACCAGTACGCGTGCATCCACGCACGTCGTCGACGAACATACGTAGCCGGGACATGGCACCAACCAACCAACCAACCTAATCACGACAGCAATTCTACGGGGAGTGCATTACTGGAGACTCCGCACCAACCCCCCAGCTACGTACGTCCAGTTCCGGCACCGCGGCAGCTAGCTGCGCGAGGGCCCAAGGCAGAGGGTGCAGCCATGCGCAGTGCAGGCGGGAGCGCGGGACACACACACCTCCGGCTGGCGTTCGGCGTTCCCAAGGCGAACGAATACAAGGCCCCCGCGCGCGGTTGGTACGCGCGGCCGCGCGCAGTGTGATCCAGGCGGGCGAGGGCGAGAGCGAGAGCGAGAGCGCGACGCGCGTCTGCTGGCTTGTTGGGACGCTCGCGCCCACCGGGCGCGCGCGTGGTGGTGGGAGCCCGGCTGCCCAGGAGACGGGGCCCCGGCGCGTCACGGGCCGGCGAAGCTGCGCTTGCGAGGCCATGACCCCGTACCAAACCCGGGCGCACGCGGCGCCCGGGCACCAGGGCAGTCAGGCACCTCGCACCAACTGATCGTCGTGCTCTGCCGCCTGGGCGGATGGAATGTAGCTGGAGCGGATGGGACGGTCGCGTCGCACTTGCATGCAGTGCCGGGGGCGGTGCATTTGCGCTTGGCGGATACGGCGGTGGTTCGTGCTAGTACAGATGATGATTGGGACATCCTTGCTGCCTTTTGGCATGCACTTGGCTGAAAGCTACGTGCGCCCGACCGGTCCGATCCCGGCGAATCCAGTACAGACCGGCGGGCCCTAAATTCGCTGTTCGTTTCCTCCCAGCCCGTGTCGGTTCCGCAGGCACTGATGGTGATCGCACATCCCATTGGAACACCAGAGCCACGTCGTCGAGAGCACTAGAATATAGAACCCTTAAAGTGTACTCAAAATTATCATCTGTACTAGCACATTGTAAAACTGATAATTTAAAATGAGAAGTAATAGGAGTACTAACAGACTTTGCATCATACATGTTGAAACGATGAAGAACTTTCTTGATATAACTTTGCTGACTAAGAAATAACAAACCAGAATTTTTGTATCTTGTAATCTCTATACATAGAATTTTCTTAGCAGCACTAAGATCCTTCATCTCAAACTCACTACTCAACAATTTCTTCAATGTAGTGATTTCTTTCTTACTCTTGGCAGCGATCAACATATCATCAATATATAACAGCAAGTATATAGGTGATCCATTAACAAATTTAATATACACACAGCTATCAAATTCATACCTCTTAAAACCATGTGACATCATAAAAGAATCAAACCTTTTATACCATTGACGAGGAAACTGTTTCAAACCATATAAGGACATCTTTAATTTGTAAACATGATCCTCCTTACCAGGTACTATGAACCCTTTTGGCTGGTCCATGTATATCTCTTCCTCGAGCTCTCCATGTAGAAACGCAGTCTTTACATCTAACTGCTTAAGCTCAAGATCTTGTATAGCAACAAAACCTAAAAATGTACGAATTGAACTATACTTTACAACTGAAGAGAACACATCATTATAATCAACACCGGGATTCTGACTGAAACATTTTGCTACTAACATTGCCTTAAATCTTGGAGGCTCACTGGAAAATAAATCCTCCTTTCTTTTGAAGATCCATTTGCAACGAATGGCCTTCTTTTGTTTAGGCAAGCGCACAACATCCCATGTGCCATTTTTCTCGAGTGACTGCATCTCCTCTTGCTTAGCGGAAATCCACTTCTCGCGGTCATCAGAAACAACAGCTTTAGTGTACGTAGCCGGCTCATGAATGTTCTCCACTTGTTCAGCACAACTAAAGACATAATGAACCATATCACATTCCTCAATTAAACGTGAACGAGGTCCATAATTCCTCTTTGTTCTGCAATAAACTGATTTTGAGGCTGCAAAACAGGAGGTGGAGGCTGAACAATATCATGAACATTGTTATCAACAATTTTAGTTTTATGATCATCTACGTGCTCCACCTGCACGCTAACATATTGCTGCTCCTCATCATAACCAACTGAAGAAACATCTGTGGACAAGCTGTCATTAAACATAATAGATTTATTGAAAACAACGCTCCTGCTCATGAAAGTCTTTTTAGTTTCAGGATTCCATAACTTATATCCTTTAACTCTAGAACCATAACCAAAAAACAGACACTTAATGGCTCTAGGTTCTAGCTTTCCATTATCAACATGAGCATAAGCAGTACAACCGAAAACTCTCAACTGTGAATAATCAGCAGGCATACCAGACCATACCTCAATGGGAGTTTTCTTATTAAGTGGGATAGAAGATGATCGGTTGATCAAATAACATGTAGTGTTAGCAGCCTCAGCCTAAAATCGCCTGTTTATACGAGCATTGGACAACATACAATGAGCCCTCGAGATGATGGTTCGCTTCATGCGCTCAGCCACACCATTTTGTTGAGGAGTATATGGGATGGTGTGGTGCCTGACAATGCATTCTTCCCTGCAGTAATCATTAAAAACATCTGAACAGAATTCACCGCCATTGTCAGTACGAAACAATTTTACCTTCTTTTCAGTTCGTCATTCTATCATAACTTTCCACTCTTTAAAAGCAGCAAAAGTATCATCTTTATTTTTTAGAAAATAATGCCACACTTTTTTAGAGTAATCATCAATAATAGTAAGCATGTAACGAGCACCACCATAAGGGGACTTACGAGACGGCCCCCACAAATCAGCATGTACATAATCAAGTATACCTTTGATGATATGAACAGATGCATTGAATTTTACCCTCTTGTGCTTACCAAAAACACAGTGCTCACAGAATGGGTACTGTTCATGGATAGGGCTGCGAGGGTGAGAGAGAGCCGGTCGCGGGGCGTTTGCCCATAGCCGGGCAAGAGGGAAGGGTTTACTTCTTAATTCTTGCTCGATTAGATCGATACATATCGTCTCCTTATATAGAGAGGTTTACTTGACTCCCAATCAAAGCTTATTTGATCCTTAAATAAACGACCCTTATCTCTAATTAATCATAACACTAATGGACTGTACAGCCGATCCAGGCCCAATAAACCCGTGACGTACTCTAACAGTACCGGCATTCAATGCATACGGGAGATTCGCCACTGTTCCGAGCCCCAGCTGACGACGCCTCGCCGCGGACTTTTGGTGCGCGACTGCTTTCACCGGCGCGGGCCGAGGCTCGAGAAGGCCCTTTTGGCATTTTGATTAGCTCGCATGCTCGCCCGCCCAATCGACCTCAACTGGCTCACCACCCTTCCATTCAGTAGCTACTACCACCTCTGCCTCTTGCATTTCCAGTTTCGGATCTTCAATGCACGCGCGAATCTGCGCAAAGATTTCCAGTTTCTAGCAAGGGATTGGAGTTGGTTGTTAGCCCGTGGTTGACTCTCTCAATTTACTCCGTCCCGGGCCGCCTTCTGGAAGTGTAGTAGGAGTATAAACATGAGCTCCGAAAAAAGGTTAGCAGCCCCCCAATTTTTTGTCGCGATCAGTGCCAACGAGACTAGTGATGGATCGCCAGAACTCATTAGCTAGGGCGGTTGACAGCCAATAGTGTACGTCTCCTACCATCGAGCAGTAGTATATCAAAGAGAAAATTCCTTCAGTGCCATTGAAAGCTATAACTATCCCCTATTTGCCATTCAAAAATATAGTTTTCCTTCATTGCCATTGATATAGATTTCTCTTCCCTTATGTGCCATTACTGCTATTTTTGGGAGAGTCAACAGCTAACGCCGTTAAAACTCCGTTCGATAGCACCTGCTCTGATCCTTTCTTTTACCCCTAGCGCTGTTGTCTGTTAGGCATAGCACCCATTCCTTGGGTCTGTGTCTGACGCATCAGCCACCAGGCCATCAGCCCGTGCGAAGCCAGCGCCCGTCAATTGACGTTGGACCCACACCGCATCAACCAGTCCAGTAGCTGGATAAAGAGTGGGGACCACGCAGGCATGCAGCCATGCAGACCTAGATGGAACTCAGGTCCGCTCCTCGCCGCTCTTCAACCTTGTTGCTGTCTGCTTCTCAGGGCCTGGCCAATATCAGGGACGCCTGCACCATCTGCGCCATGGACGAACTCGGGTCACGGCTATGCAACAGCTTCTCGCCGTCTGCATGCAGCATGTCCTCGCCATCTGCGAGTGGAGCCTCTACCCCAAGCACGGTGTGTGTGGCCTACTGGCCTTCAATGTCTGCAGAGTGCAGATCAGTTTCCCTCGTCCTCGTCTGTGGTCTGCTTGTCAAGACGAAAGTAACTCCCGCTTTAGCGCCCGGCGGGCACGTGCTCCACACGAACCCGGCCAGCGGCTCGAACGTGGTGCACGCGCGGCCCTCCAGCGCCTCGTACGTACCTAGGCTGCAAGCAGCGGCATCTCGACAATGCCTGCCATGGCGCAGTCCACGCCAGCCTTCACGAACACGGCGCCCGTGCAGTCCACGACTAGCTTCCCCTCGCCTGAGATCGCCAGCCGCCCGGCGAGCGGGTAGTAGTGGACGAACACCTTCGCCAGCGACTCCCTCAGCACGTCGCAGGCGCTGATTCCGTCGCCGCCACCGTCGGTCGCCCTGAAGCAATACACGGTCTGCACGATGACGGTGATGTTCTGGTCCAGGTTAGAGAGGTAGTAGAGGCCGCTGGGCGTCTCCTCCGGCGGCGGCACCAACGATGGCTCCCTACGTGCGTGCGTGCATCCATCCATGCAGGAAAACGTAGACGAGCAGGAGAACTGGATGAACGAACATTTCCATTGTTGGAGTCAGATCAGCAGCGAGCAGCAACGGATTGGATCTGGACGACGTAGACCTAGTTCGTGCCGCAGTTCGCTCGCTGGCGTGGGCATGGGCTTGCCTGCTTCGCGCTGGCCTACCAGCCGTGCGCACGAGCAGGCCTGCCGCGGCCATACGAGCCACCGCTGCGAGCGCCCTGGCGAGCCGCTGCCGCGGCCACGCGGGCGCGCGAGCAGGCAACGACGCCTGGGAGCCCTGGGCGCGCCTCGAGTGCTGCCACAAGCGCGGCGGCGACGACGTGTCCGATAGCCTAGGAGAGGATGCATCGCAGCTTGAAGATGAGGTAGAGGATGAGGACGAGGATGCCGAACCTGACGGCTACGGTGGCGTGCAGCCAGGGTCACGACGGTGGAGACTGCCGGCGGGGGTGGCTGGGTGCTCGCGCGCTCGCTTGGCTGCGGCGTCGTCGTCTTGATGCGCTGCGGCTGGCCGTTGCGCCCGAGCCGGAGCGTCCCGGAGAAGTTGAGCGACTTGAAGCTGGGGAGGCAGTACGAGAAGGTGGCTGGTACATGTCCCTGGTCTGCGACAGGAACGACAGCGGGCCACGCCCGAGCCCCAGCAGCCCCTGCGGCGTCGTTGCTGGTGTCGACGGCCAGGAGCAGCTGCGGCGGCGGCATGCCGAGGCGGGTGCGCACCACGTACGTGGGCGTCTGCAGCAGCTGCCGCCCCGACGCGATGGGCGCGTACGCACGGGCGCAGCCACGTGCCTCCAGCGAGTCTAGGTACAGCAGCCGCGACGCTCACGCGACGCCTGGTCTGCCAGAACCCCGCCCACGACGGCGCCGCCGTCCCGGGCCCAGCGGCGAGCAGGGACCGAACGCGTGCGACACCTGCAGCGTGTTCCCGGCGTCCGGCGGCGTCGCGGGGCACGACGAGCTCGAGCTCGAGCTTGGGTGCGACACGGCCGCCCCGCCCGCGACCACCAGCAGCAAAGGGAAGTAGGCAAAATTACTTCATCGCATCTAGAGGGCAAATTTGTCTTTTCAGTGTCACTTAACAGTCATCTAACGTGCATGTGACAGCAATGGCACATAGGGGATGCAAAATTTAAACTAATGGCAACGAAGGAAACTTATATTTTTTAATGGCATATAAGGGATTGATATAGATTTTGATGGCATTCAAGGGATTTTCTCTATATCAAATCGCCGCCGTCAGCGTTGGTGTATGTCACGCCGGCCACGGGCGTTGGGCCGTTGAGCCAGCTGGCGAAGCAGTAGCACGAATGGAGTTACAGTAGGTTGCCTTGCCGTGCATTGAATACCCTGAAAACGCCGTGCCGCCTTTTCGAATTTCGACCCGTGTACAGTACGGTGTCGCTCCGGTTTTTCAACCTGTCCGCGGTCAAGTGTCGTCACAGTCCTGTCCACTCGTTCCCCCTCGTAACGCGGACAGGTGAAAATGACTCGGGCCTTGTTTAGATTGCAGTTTGAAATTAGTAGTTGGCATTATAGCGCTTTCGTTTGTATTTGACAATTATTGTTCAATCATGGTCTAACTAGGCTCAAAAGATTCGTTTCGTAATTTACAATCAAATTGTGTAATTAGTTATTTTTTTATCTATATTTAATACTCCATGCATATATTCAAAGATTTAATACGATGAAAAGAGTAAAAAACTTACAATCTAAACAAGGCCTCGGTTCAGAGAGCCCGTGGACGGATAACCTCTCTCAGGCCCAGCCATAATGCATGGGGTACTACAGTATACTACTGTACAGCTCTTGTCCGATCCACCGCGTACCCTGCTGCGTGCCGGCGATCGGACGGACGGCGGATCCGGCGGCCGTGCCGGGCCCAATCAATCGTCCACCCGAGCAGAGCAGTTCCCAACGGAACGGGGCAACCGGGCATGTTCGTTTTGACCCGGAGGGGCACGCTGTCTGGCCCCCCTCTAGTTTACGTCTTATTTAGTTCCACCTTAATTTCCAAAAACAGCTACAAGACCGCCACATCGAACGCTTACTACCATGACAGACAGAAAGATTAAATATGTATTAAAAAGAAAAAACTAATTGCACAGTTTGGTGAGAAATTATGAGACGAACGTTTTGAGCCTAATTAGTCCATATTTAAACACTATTTACCAAATAAAAACGAAGATGCTATAATAGCCCCAAAATCCAAATTTCGCGAACTAAACGAGTGCTTACGCGATTCGAGCCCACCAGCGCTACCAAACTCCGCAACCTACACGGCTTAACTGGCGCGCGAACTACCTAATCAGGACTACTAAATTATTGGCTCTCCGTCCGCTCCGGTCCACCACAGCCCTCAGGACAGGAGAGAGAGAGAGAGAGGGGGATGGGGATTAAAGAGGAAGGGACTAGCCACACATGACGAAACGCTACGAGCAACAGGCAGCACAGCTCATGGGATAGCTAGCCAATCGGTGGCGGTTGCTCCACCAGAATTTGGAAACAAGTACCAACCTGAGGGCCGGTTTAGTTCAAAAAAATTTCACCTCAAAATATCACATCGAATCTTATGATACATGTTTGGAGTACTAAATATAGACGAAAAAAAACTAATTGCACAGTTAGGTGAGAAATCGCGAGACAAAACTTCCGAACCTAATTAATCCATAATTAGATAATAATTGCTAAATACAAACAAAAGTACTATACTAGCCAAAACCAAAAAATTTCACCAACTAAACGCGCCCTGATTCCCCGCCTTCTCGCGTGGCGTCGGCCTTTTTTCTAATCATGAACTGGCCCGCCCCGAGTTAGCTAACCACCAGGAGAAAAAATGTCTCCCGCACTAGCGGGAGAGGTAAAGTGTGAAAAGAGAAGCTAGTGCTGGTACAAGTGTAATGAGAGGAGTTGCGTAAGCGTAACTAACAAACTACTCCACCGAGGATGATGGACGGATTGGTCTAATACAATACTACTACGTACTCCAGGCAGGACGGTAGAAGTAGCACATGTAAAGTTGGCCGTGTCCAAACTTTGGCGTGGCTTTTTTTTTCTACCAAGTTCAAAAGAAATACTCACCTTTTTAGCCGCTTATCGGAGATCAATACATACTAGGATATCCGAAAAGGACGGGCTAATGGTCATCAATATTAATTCAGCCGAACAGTTAAGACCGTGACTACGGCTCCAACCGATCCCTAGACGCGCGGGCTCCGCCTCGACCGACCTCTGGGGAAGGACTCCGTCTCGTCCGACCCCGAGGCCGCGGGCTCCGCCTCGCCCGACCCTAGGGTTTGTGCTCCGCATCGCCCGATCCTTAGGTTTACGCTCCGCCTCGTCCGGCCTCTGGGGGAGGACTCCGCCTCGCCCGACCCCAAGGCCGTGGGCTCCGTCTCGTCCGACCCTTGGGTTTGCGCTCCGCCTCGCCTGATCCTTGGGTTTGTACTTCGCCTCGCCCGGCCTCTGGAGGAGGGCTCCGCCTCGCCCGACTCAAAGGACGTGGACTCCGTCTCGCCCGACGAAGACCCATGCCGCCGCCAACCACTTCAGGTCCAAGTGCATGGGCCTAGGTCACAGCTCTGACACCAGGGAGGAGACCGGCACGCTCCGATATAATCCGCAGCCACGACGGGCCATACCCGAGGATTTACATCAGGAACAGCGTCGGACATACCGGTGCTGTTCTGCCTAACCCTCGTACGAACATTGACAGGCGCGTCAGTTCACCACGACATCCGGCAGGATAGAGTGGGGCGGCATGACCGGCAGACGACACCTGCGCATGGCGCTAGTGACGGACAGGGCCGCGACGTGGAGCCGTCCCTGTTGACATCTACAGGGTCGGCGGGACCCGCATAAAGGATAAGAAGGACCTGACGATCCTGAAGGCTTTTGGCTCTCTCTTGTTCTTCTCTTTTCTCTCCGCTGTAACCCGTGCTTTCCCTTATCCTATAAAAGAGAAAGCAGGGCGCCTCACGAAGGGGATCGATCGATTGAGGCCAGACCTGATGGAACCATCACGAACCCATTGAACCTCGAACCGACCAGAACACAACACAAGCACACGGCTGAGCAGCAACCGAGCTCTCGGCACCCGTTCATTCTTTCCACCAGAGACTTGTGACATGTCTCTCTCTCGTCCGTTTGTAATCCTTGCTACAAACTTTCAGTGCTAGTAACACGAGCAGCAGTGACGAACTGGATATAGAGACATTCTAGCCGAACCAGTATAAACCTCGTGTCCTATAAACACACATTCCGAGTCAGACGCGTAATAATAAAAATTTACTGGTTGATAGTAAATCGAAACACCGACTCCGCTCTACCTGTGATCCATCCGCCACAAAACTACTCCAGTATAGCACGCGGGCGAGGCCGGCGGATCAAGCGCAAGGCATGCGACTCGCCTACGGGCCAGCGCGGTCAAATGACACGCCTGCTGTAGGGGTCCAGTCAAGGGGAGGGAGAAATAAGAAGGGAGAAATAGGAAAAATTTAGAATAAAATCCACGCTTCCTCTCAGTAGCGTCTACTAGCACGCACTGCCCCTCTGCTGACCAGCTCCCATATATACGCGCTCCGCCTCCTGGCCTGGCCGCCTGGCTATCTCCTCCCGCCTGACCGCCTCCCCTGTTATAATATAATAACAACCAAACCAGAGCTCAGGAGCTCCAGGCAAACTCGAGTCGAGCTCAGAGGGCCAGAGGCGCCCGCCAAGAAACACCTGCGCCCTGCGGCGGCGGCGCGCGCAAGAGCACAAGGGAGGGGAGCAGCAGGCATGGGGAGGTCTCCGTGCTGCGAGAAGGCGCACACGAACAAGGGCGCGTGGACCAAGGAGGAGGACCAGCGCCTGATCGCCTACATCAAGGCGCACGGCGAGGGGTGCTGGCGCTCGCTGCCCAAGGCCGCGGGCCTCCTCCGCTGCGGCAAGAGCTGCAGGCTGCGCTGGATGAACTACCTCCGCCCGGACCTCAAGCGCGGCAACTTCACCGACGACGACGACGAGATCATCATCAAGCTCCACGCCCTGCTCGGCAACAAGTAAGCGCCCGGCCGCCGTTCGCCGCCCCGCCTGTACTGTACCATTCGCTCTGGATGGACTCCTTTTCCTAGTAGTAAGTACTTCGATGACTGATCCATCGGTCGGCCCATGCATGGCGCAGGTGGTCGCTCATCGCGGGGCAGCTGCCCGGCCGGACGGACAACGAGATCAAGAACTACTGGAACACGCACATCAAGCGCAAGCTGCTGAGCCGCGGCATCGACCCGCAGACGCACCGCCCGCTCAGCGGCGGCAGCGCGGCCGCGGGCAGCGGGCTCACCACGTCCAGCACCGCCGGCTTCCCGTCCCCATCGCCGGTACCCACCAGGCCCGCGCGCCCGGCCATCGCCATCCCGCCCAATGTGATGTTCGCGCGCCCGGCGCCGTCGGAGGACGGCCACAGCAGCAGCGGCGGGAGCACGGACGCGCCGCGGTGCCCCGACCTCAACCTGGACCTGGACCTGTCCGTCGGCCCGCCGTGCTCGCCGCCCAAGACGCCGGCGGCCGCCGTGACGACGCCCACGTCGCAGCAGCAGCAGCGGACGACCATCTGCCTGTGCTACCACCTCGGTGTCCGCAGCGGAGACGCCTGCAGCTGCAAGACCGCTGCGTCGCCGGCGGGGTTCCGGTTTCTCCGGCCGTTAGAGGGCCAGTACATATAGGCGTCATAAAAATCACAGTAGGGAGGCAGAGGCAACACCCAAACAACCTGTAAAAACAACAAGAAATGAGAGTTTCTAATCCAAATGATCAGCCCGTTCGCTGGTTGGTTGGTTTCTAGGCTGATAACTCCGACTGGTATTAGTTTATTGTGAGAAGAAAATACTGTACCATTGACGTGGATGATGAGAGCATCATTTCTCATGTTTCCCTTTCTTCAAAACCGATTTGTTCTTCTTTCCGTTTTTTGAGTTTGTTGTACGGTTGATTGATCGGTTGGGTGCATCATCTTGTGAATTTGCGCATCCGATTCGGGCGGCTGCGTGACATTTGTGCCATGTCACCCATGTGGGATATACTAGTGCAAGAATCCATCATGCGGTGGGCTGTTGTTGCTAGGTACACAATTTTTTTTATCTGGGTGGTCCCAGGAAATAAGAAACACACAAAGCAAAATTGTATCTGGGTGCTCCCAGGAAATAAGATAATGTGGCAAGTTAGGCACCGGAGAATTTTGGAGAAACTGACATGGCCTGCCTGTTCGGGAGGCCGTATCGTATCGTGGATTATTTACTGCTGGCTAGTTTGGTGTGAGAGAAAAATACTATTCCTGACTAGAAATTTACGATCATTTACGAGCAAACGAACAGGCCGACACGGAAAGGTTTTTCCGGAAAGGTTTCTTTCGTTGTTTAACCGTGAGAGTGACATCAATGAACTTGTTTTTCTCTGAAGAAGAGCATTGGATGAAACCGTGAACGCGGTGCCGTAGTGGTAGTTAGCCAACCAACCCAGGTAGGTCGACTAGTAAAAGGACTGGGAACATAAGTAAAACACACAAGATAAGTGCCGGCAGCTTGCTGGATTCGAAGTAATCCTCCACGTTTGCAGTGTAATTTTTAATAGCATCGGTCAAGTAATAATATAAATGAATTAGAAATCCCTTCTCGGCGCACTCTGTTTTGGATATGGGACACAGATGTATAGTTTGGCCAAACTCTACCACCAGTGTAGAAAATTTTCAAAGTTCCAATGGAGTTTTTGTATGGTTTGAAACATGAATTTTCATGCTATAAAAATATACGGAGCATCAGTTTATATGGCTTGATGGAGGTTGGTGGTTCTGTGTCGTACATCATATAGGATTGTTCTTGTGAAGCTGCAATGCTGCATTCACACGTTCAGATAGTGAGATGGACACTTGTGCAAATCGCCACACTTTCGCAGTAACTGTTTCGGAACTGTTGGCTAGAGCTCAGCGTCTATCTAGGTTGAAAAATAGCATGAATCATAATTTTTCCAGTGAAAAGGAGATGAATCCCCATCGGAATCTTCCTTTACTTTTCAGCTTTCCAACCACCAACTTGTCAGCCTGGAAACTGGATTAGTAAGTTCTTATCCTCTTGTCAAACCATGAACGAGAGTTTTTTGCAGGTAAGTAAGTTCGACGTGGACATGGATAAATTTTTGCTAAGACTAGGCTTAAACTTTCACCTGATGATATGCTTTGTCTACTCAACGCTTGCGCTAACAATTTTCAAAGTTTTTGACATTTTGGTCCGTATCACGTAGTACTGCGTAGTGCTTCCAGCGTACCGGTATGTATTTCTGTACCTGAAGCATCTGACACCAGTTTCATTACTCGCATATCGGAAGAGGTCAGAAGATAAATTATGACTCGTGCCTACCGCACGTACGCCGTTGATCTTGTGATTCTGACCAGCCAGTTGGCCCATGTTGTTATTACAAGCTAGACTCTCGCGTACCTTGTTGCATGCTGACAACGGAGCTCGTCTCACCCACATGATTTGCCAAACTCTAGCACGTACTCTCCGTGTTCCTGACGGCTAGCTAAAATGTGAACTCTCCGGGTGGAATGTACCACGAATTTTCTTTCTAATCATTGGACTTCTTTGTTCCTCGAGGAAGGCCTCGTTGGCCTGTTTAGTTCCCAGAAAATTTTAGCCAGTACCCATCGTATCGAATCTTGCGGCATATGCATGGAGTACTAAATGTAGACGAAAAAAAAACTAATTACACAGTTGGGTGAGAAATCGCGAGACGAAACTTTCGAACATAATTAGACACTAATTGTCAAATACAAACGAAAGTGGTACAATAGCCAAAACTCAAAAATTTTTGCATCTAAACGCGCCTAAATTCTGGATGTAAATTTGTGAGGTATCACATCGGGTGTCATATGGGGGTGTCGTATGGGGTGTTTAGATACTAAAAAAAAAAAATTACAGAATCCGTCAGTAATCCGCGAGACGAATTTATTAAGCCTAATTAATCCATCATTAGCACATGTGTTACTGTAGCACCACGTTGTCAAATCATGGACTAATTAGGCTTAAAAGATTCGTCTCGCAAATTAGTCGTAAACTGTACAATTAATTATTTTTAAATCTATATTTAATACTCTATGCTTTGTGTCCGAATATTCGATGAGATATGGAGTAAACTTCAGTACATGAACTAAACCAGGCCTAAATTAGTCAGGGAGCGTTTACACTTTGTCATTCTTTTTTTTATTAATTAAAAAAAAGGAGTTTACATGCATGGCTTGCTTGCGACAAGATACTTGCGCAGGACCTATTGGATTTCATTCATTTATAGCCGCCGTGGAGATCTTCCCTCTCTGGGTCCGTACCTACACCGGAACACACGTTGCTTTGGGCCGGTTCACTGCGAGGAATTCTGGAGGTAATAGGATGGTTTGAAGAAATGCTGGAGGAATTTGTAAAAAAAACGTTGTTCTGGATGAAAAAAAAAGTGGATCACGCCGGGTTTAAGGGCACGCGAATGGTATGTTTGCTTGGCTGATAAATCATGACTAAAAGTACTGTTGGCTGATTTATTATGAGAGAAAAATACTGTTCGTTGACTAAAAAAATACGGCTTATAAGCCAAACCAAAAGACACTTATCAGTCACTGATTAATTGGGGATGCAATGGGAAGCCGTTCCTTTCATCTTGCCAGTTTTTTTCATACGTTTTCCACGCTCATCCCCGTGGGGATCGGAGAGATACTTGTGGCAGCGACAGTTTCCGTTACCTGTAACTTCGCGGACAAGTACCCCTACCAAACCGCTTTTCCCCTCGTCCGCGGGGTGCGGATCATTGCCACGAAGCTCACGCTTCCAGGCCGGCCCACCACCCGGCACCCGGGGTGCTTGCGCGGCGGCCTCCCCTTGCCGCCACCACAAGCTCGAGTGCTCGACAGCAAATTGGCGGAGGCTTTCCGTTCCGCCCGCCCGCCCACCCACCCTGCCGTCGTCATCGCGTACAGCGAGCCACCAACGAGCCATGTGCGTGCGGACACGCGCGAGCTGGTCAGTTGGGTCGGGCAACGTCGTGACGGCAGCAGGGCTGCGACGGTGCCGGGTGCCGGCATCGCGCGCGCCGCCCGAGGCTTTCACGCACTTCCATTCCATGGCTAGTACGCCGCGATGGTGAGCCGTGACGTCCGCGGGATTGATCCGTGTACGGTGTACCCACCCGAAACTGCCTCCACGTTCCCACCGGTCGCCACGCATCTATCTACTTATCTCGAATGAATCTCTGCTTCTATATACACCACGCTCCACGCCCGCCGCCGAAAACTTTTTCACGGCGGCGTGAGCCGTGAGGGGTTCACCAACTCAACATGTTACACAGCTGCAGCGGTGTCACAAAACGCGTCGCCTTCTGTTACATCTTGGAGAGTGCGAGAGCAGGGAGCACCGGCGCTGCCGTGAAGGCGTGAACGACCGCATCCGCATCACAGACTCACAAGATTTATCCTGCAAGGTACGGCGGAACCAAGCGAAAAAGCCACACATCGCATAGGGTATCATCTCATCAACCAGGCGCGGCGCGACCCCACGCGTGGCCCATCCAACCCCCACGAAAAATCGTTCAATCATGCTGGGGCCCGGGAGCCCGTCCGCGAGGTTTGGATGAGGACAAGTCAAGTGGAGAGCATTTGCCAAGCCGCGGAAGCGAGCGCAGGGGAGAACAACGTGCGGTGCGGTGGTACTTGCTAGTTGGTGGGCGGATGACATCACCGATGACCGCCGCACCTGACCTGGGGGGACCTCACCGCTCACCGGCGGCGATCGGCGCGAGATTTCCGGGTCGCCTTTGCCTCCCTCGTAGATTTTCCCGACGCCGCGGCGCGGTATAATAACAGGAAAAAACGACCACATGGGCCATGGTTTTAAAAATGCACGGTGTTTTCGTGGTGAGCTTTAAAACGATGATGAAACACGAGGCGTTCAGACTAATCTTGGAGTGTGATTCCGTACAGCTCTTTGCCGTGGAATTGTCATGGATTAGGCGCTGGTGACATTGTTCTATCTGTCATCAATCTGTGGTGATATATGAATTGATAACGCCCGGAAAACTAACAGGAAATCTAAATGATTGGCGCAGCCAACCTGTTAGGGTGCTCAGGTGTACCATTGCTGATTCGCCCAAGAAAGCTGGCCCGAATGATGTTGCTTCCAGAACGGTACCACACCACACCACAACGGCGAGGTAGCCATCGTGCACCTGGAAAGGCAACTGTCCGATTTTGCAGTATCGCTTCCCTGATGGGTAGATCTCACCCATACACAGCAGCGAGCGATAGCAGCAACTGAAAGCAGCAGGCTTCAAGGAATCATGGGTATTTGTTGGTAGATACTCTCACGTATCTGTAGATGGAGTTGCCATGACGCTTTTCGGAAGCAGTCCCATTGTTGTTATTCCAAGCTGGTCGCGGGTTAACGGTCTTTTCTGTCGTGATTCAGGGACTCATCTCTGTCGTGATAAAATCATTCAGTGGAAAACAAGGGTTCTGGGCTTAGAAAAATTCAAGTTGACGTAGGGGGTTTAAACAGATTAATGATAACCCCATGTGCTGGTTGGCTCAGCCATAATTTGTCTTACCTACCATGTTGTCCAAACAGTGTGTGAGCCGTGGCATTGTGTCCATATGACATCCTTGCGGCACTGCAGCAGCTTGTCCCTAGCTATT